ACCTCAGTATTTCGAGACTGAGCGAATGGGGAAAGAACTCCTTACCAATGTGTGGCCCCTTCCCATCCCATTCCCCACCCCCTATGAAATCAAAGCAGCCTAGGAGAGAAAATTGCTTATTTGAAAAAGCAATATCCAAATGCTTTCATCACTCAAATGCCCTTTTGAAAATATTGTCTACGGTGGTTATTACCTGGACAATGCTGTCAATTTCTGTAGTCTGCAGAAAATCTTCCTTCGGACAGAAAAGTAGGACATCGTGCACCTATCTCAAAAAAAAAATCAACCAATTTCCCTGCCACTGGATATATTTTCACCCAGACAACACTTTCATTAAGGGGGAAATAGCCGTCAACAATTCAAAGCCAAATAGAAATCAACTTTGCACAAAGAGGAGCCACGAATTTAATAGCTGTCTGGGAAAATACGGCTAACAGAGTTGGAGCAATTCTGGTTCTCTCCCTGTAACGCTGAACATCAGTTCTCTGAAGCTATCACTACAAGACCCCAGACCAAGATAATGCTGGTGGATACAGGGTAGAGGACAACCCACCCAAGCAATTCCCTCACACCTCAGAGAGCTGTTTCCTGGTCAGTGGAGAGTCAAATCTTTCAGGGAAGATGCTGAAACAGTAGCCACTTCTCTTCACCCGCCCCCCAGAGCTCTGGAGTGCAAATTGGAACTGATGAGTTGTCATGCTGTGTGCATGGGCCACTACAAAAATCTAGGTTTAGTGCTGGATGTGGAAGGCTGATTAGGGTAAAAGAGTAGGAAATGTGGTGGGCTGGGGAAATTTTAGAACTGCCTCCAAAAGCCATCCTCCAGAGACAGCACTTTGTAGACACTGTGTCAAGTAGCCGATTCATTCTATATAGTTTCTTTTCGAGAATAAGCTTAAATTAAAACTTTCAGTGAGCAGTTGTATTAATTTTCAAGAGAAAGGAGCTGCACATTCCTAGTCCAAAGAATGAGGTGATAGTCTCTCCTCCTCTGCTTTCCCTAACCTCCATTTCCTTAACAGCCATCTTTCTTATGAGTAGAATTTGCCAAATGGTTTACTTTCTAACAGTGCAAGTGAAGTAGTCCAGTGGATATATTAATCATTTTAAACTCAATCAAGCAACTGGTATGTAATTCACATTGTAGGGATACCACACGTTTGAGGGAATAGATGCTTAAAATGTGGTGGCACAAGGCTTAGAAAGAATTTGGTAACAAAAGCAACTAGATTCTTAGCTCTGTTAATTTCTTGCAGAAATAGGAAGACTTCAGGTCTTACAGTACTGCTGTGGGTGTCTGACTGACCACAATTACATCATTCAATCCTTTGTCAGATTCTCTGTACTCAATTTTTAACTAAGTTTTTCATTGGCAAGCCCAAGGAATACTCACTGGACTCAATTCTCAGTATGAGAATCACTACAAGAAAGCTCTAACAGAATGCTACTTTAATGTTCTCTTTTTTGCTGGGATATACTCTCCTTGTTTCCTGGCTTGTACATTAGCTTGACCCACTGAGCATAACTCAATTCAGGACACACATTCCCATTTTCTAGAGATGAGAGAAACATTTTCCTGTTTTTTCAGTGTGCTTCATTTCAGTTAAAATGCTATAGCCCTGTTACTCCATATATCACACTGAAGATGCCCTGGAATCAGTTCTGAACTGACAGAAAAATAAAGACTGCAGGAGTTTTTAACAATTTTAGCAAGTCAAACCATAGTTTCATCTCCTGTGGAATTCAGATATTTACATCTGCAATACAGAACATTGAATAAACTGAAATTTTCTTTATCTTTATTTTGAAAAGATGCATTCTTATGCCCATGGATTCCTGGCTCAAATTTACCCTGTGGTGATATTTGAATACTCTAGCTACTATGCTTCAGAAGGCATGTTTTAAAAAAATTCTAATTAATTACAATATTAAAATAACAATATTACAATATTAAATTACATTACAATATTAAAATAAGCTTCTAGTATGTAATAGAACAAATCTGTGTTTCAATAAACCCAAAAACATCCAAAACCCTCAATCTAGAGTGTTCAAGGAACTTTGGTTCAAAGAAATATACTCAGAACCTTTACCCAAATATAGGTCTCAGTCTGTAACTGAGGCATTGATCTACTGGATACAGAGTTGTTCATCAGAAGTTCTTCCCAACTATGGGAAAAATTATTTTTTCTATTAGCAGGAAGATAAATATTACTGTATATAAGATATGTAGCCAAGACTTGCTCCCTGGAAATAAGGTGGTTGCTCCTTGGAAGATTTAACTGGGATTCTATGCCATAAAGAAAAGAACATTGTAGGTATTAGCTGAGAAGTGAGGCACAAATAGAATGCTCCAGCCATCTAACTAGTGGGGTGAACCAGGAAGACCAAAAATTACTCATTAAATTTTTCCCTAGCTAATGCCAGCTCAAGGAAAAAAAAATAGACAGGTTTTGCCACTGGTGCTTTCTTGGAATATAACTTGAAAGAACTCCTGACAACCTGTATACATCTATTGCAGGATTTTCCAAAGAACTGGGTTGCTCTGAGGCACAGCTACACGTAAATGATGGTTTGGTTACTGTATTTAGTGTTTAATGAAAAAGATGGAGAAAGAAACCTTGATGGTCTCTTGATCTTTTCATTACTCTAGATTTTAATCAAAGTTTCCTACTCCTCTGTTTGTCTAAAACCATGCTAATGTGACTGCTCACTTCATCTTTTTATATTCATTTGCAGGTTAAATGCAGCTCCCTTTTCCAGGAAAATTCCTTGGAATTTTGCTGACAAATAACCATGGGAATACAATCCTTGGAAATACTGCCATGGGTCATGACCATCAGCCTTTTGTTTTTGCCATGTGTGTGGTTTCTAATCCCCAACACACAAAACAACTTTAGATTGGAGAGAAAAGAATGGATTTCTAAATCGCCTTCTCTATTTTATTGTTCACATTTCGCATTGTTTTGAGTGAAACTGGAAAAATTGTCTCTTTCCACTGTATTGCCAAAAGGCATTCAGGTAATGAAGTCTGTAACTAAACGGTAATTGAATCAGCATAATTTGCACACTGAATGGTTTTCAAATGCTCCCAGTTTACAATTAAAGGAGAATTAATGCGCTTGTTGTTGGGAACGCAGCGCATTAGAATAAATCCAGCACTGTTGTTGTAATGTTGTAATGAGTGGAAAACGGTTTAACTGCCAGCAAACACATTTAAAATTTAACACAAGGTATTGATTTCACTTCTGCTTTTGATAGATTATTTTCCAGACTATCGAAATACTTGCTTCAAGCGATAAACTGCACCACAGCCCAGCCCTGGCCATGCGTGAAAGCACAGTCAAAGGACATCAGAATGGTCCCGAGGTTCAGGTCACCTAAAGATATGCAGATGAGTGGCGCAGGAGGTCAGAGGGACCCTTAACATTCCTCCTCCGTCGCTTTCCCGTTGCACTCTCCCCTCCCATTTCGCAATAAAATTTTTCTGTGTATATTCCGGCCCAACTTTCTGCCCTCCAGCTCTGAGTTCTCAATGTCAGTGGGCTTACTGGACACAGGTGGGGACAAGAGTGATAGAAGATGGGAAAGAGGAAGAATCCCGTGCATTCCTTCTACATTTGAGAAAGGGAAGGCAGAGACTTCGGTAACAGTCAGAAAGGCTGTTCTTTTGGATTGGCTGCCCCGGATTTCACCTGTTTACCCCAAGGTGTCCTGAGAGTGAGGACGCTGATGCGCAGCGCCCTCTGGCGTTTGCGGCTGCTGTGATCAGGCGACAAAGGAGCAAAGACAGCCAACACTGAGGGCTCTTGGGTTAAAGCTGAAACCAGTTAAATATACATAATTGGGCGCAGGCGTGCATACACACACACACACACACACACACACACACACACACAGTATTCAACAACGCGCAGCCTACAGTAAGTAACATGCACCAGGGCAAAGGCAGGGAAACGCTGTCAATTGCAAAGGATGGCAATCTACTGCTCCCAGGCTTGTAGATTCTAAAACTCTTGGGGTTGAGAGGACAGCATCACCTCAAATCCAGCTCCTCTAGTGACCTCAGGCTGTTGCTCGATGCTCCTCACTTCTAGACAAAACAGCACTTCACTCAGTGCACTTGTGAGACCCAGGTTGAACTGAGAGGTTCAGAACACCAAGCATAACAGCCACAAGATGCCAATGTCCCCAGCCCTCTGAGAAGCCAGACCCAAGAAATCACCCCTGTCATGTCTTGTCACTAGCTCCCAAATCATCACGACAAAGCACTTCACTATAGAGTCAGTCCTAACACTTGGTAAAGTCTAACATCCTCCTCAAATAAAAGGAGGACCAGCTTTGTTTAGGACTTTCTCCCTGGTGCCCAGGCCTGCCATTACCTACTAAGGGGTTTGGCACTGGAACTTGGATTTGATTATTTAGTGGAAAAGAAAAATTGGAGAAGAGGGAGGAGTGCATGTTTTCAGAATATCTCTGGACCAACTCATTTGCTTATAGTGCTTCTCTTCAGCTTATCCTGTCTGAACCCCCTAAGTAAAGGAAAGTTCTCTTCACTTCAGGGCCACGTTTCCAATCAGGAGGGGTGAGTGGGAAGATTCACTTTTAAAATCACAGACCTAAGCTGAATTTCTCTTTCAACTCCTCAAGCCCACCTCTCTTTCCCTTACTTTAAAGGGTGAACTCAGAGTTCCATGCCTTGAAATCCTTCTCTTGGACTTCAAAAAAATTCCCTACCCTACTACCTCTGGGTTTCTGCCCCCCAGGGTGCCCTATTCCTCCTTCAGAACCCTACTTAGAAAGGGGTAACTAGCAGGAAATGGGGGTTGAACCCAGGAAATCCCGCAGGAATCCAGAGACCAGCTTCTCAAAGTTGTTCCCACATTTACTAGGAAAGCGACTCTCACCAAACGGGCAGCTTCGGTCTCCTCCCCGCGCCTCCAAGTGCTTGGCCTCCTGGCCTGGGAGAAATGGCAGAGGCGCTTGACCCGGCGACTTACCAAGTAGACGGTGGGCTGCAGGAGGAGAAGCAAGTACCAGCACGCAGCCTGCATCCTCCCGCGTCTCAAACTTCCTTGGCGGTGCCTTCGCTGAGTCTTTGTTCCTTCACAAACATAGATCCACCTGACATCCACTTTACAGAGCGAGGAGCGCTCTCAGCAGCCTAGATACAAATGAAATTAGACATCCCATGACCACGCGGGCAAGGTTAGGCTTGGTGATCAAGCCTGGAAAGAGGGTCGTGGCGGGGAGAGGTGGGCCAGAAAAACCTGGAAGAGGGATGCAAAAAAATTGAAAAACGAGTAAATCCAGCTCCTGGAATGAGCGGGCGCGCGTTCCGCAGGCGGGCAGACCAAAAGAAGGGTGAGGGTCTCCTCACGCTCTGCGCCTCTTGGGTGCCAGTTCCTTGGTGGCAGAGGCTGGAGGCGTTTGGCACCCAGGGCCGCGTGCAGCCTGGTTCTCAGCCCAACTGTCTGACAGCAGGACCTGCCCCTAGTGTCTGATCGCCGGGTGGCTCGGACTAAAGGCGGCGGCTGGTTCCTCGCCAGCTCTGGCAGGGCTCACACGTACGCACCAGAACAGAGAGATAGAGAAAGAGAGGAAGAGAAAAGGAGGGAGGGAGGGAGAAGCTTAGCAAAGGAGTGCGTGGAGAGAAAGAGGTAGGTAGAACTGACTGGGATTAGGTGTGGGGCATCTCAACACGTTCGGTAAAGTGGGGGTGGGGAGGGGAATCCAAATTACATACAAGAAAGCAGAGCTCCAGTTTCCCCTTGCGAGCCGCAAGAACGCAGAGATACACAGGCACACACACAAGCAAATTTCCATCACTACTTTTTTGGAGCTAAGGAGCAAAGCCAGTTGCTAACTTCTGGAGCGGAAGCCCGCAGGGCTGGGGAGGGTCGCCCGCCGGCGCGCTCTAACCACGGCCAGTGCCCTCCTACCCACCCTTCCAAAGTGCCCACCACCCTGCCCCAAGGTGTCCCTTCCAGGAACAGTGGGGCTGTAGGGTACGTACCCCACAGGACTGGCGGGGAATCCGGCGAGCAGGGACCGCTCTGGGCAGGCTCCATGGAGGAGCTACTCGGGCCTGGCGTCTTGGGCGCCCCGGACGTGCCCTCCCCGGAGCTCCGTCTCCATGCTCGGGCGCGGATGGGTCCGGCTGTCTCGTCCAGTCTCGGCCGAGTCGGCGTCCCAGAGCTGGCTGGGGTCGCTCCCAGTGCTGGATCTCCTGAGCCCAGGCTTGTCACAGTTGAGTTCACGGTGCAGGAAACTTAAGAGGCAAGAGAGGGAGGGGGAAGTAGAGGAGGAAAGAGAGAAAGGGAGGGAGGGAAAAAGGGGAGGGAGAGAGGCGAATGCACCGGGCCGCTGCACCGGACGAGCGGGACCGGCCACGCTAGCACTGGGACGCGCAGCTGAGGGCTCCGGATCTCCGCGATTTCCAGGATGGTGGAAATGACTTAAGGGGAGGAGACTGGACAAGTCCCGGGGATATGAACTTGAGAGATGAGCTATGAGCCTTTCGGAAGAAAACACAGCGCTAGTTTCGGAAGGAGGGGTGGCTTGGCCACAATTTGGGCGGGCGCACCAAGTAGCTGCGGCTGGGTGCGGAAGCTGGCGAGCGGGAGAGCTGTTTGCAGGGAGCCAGGGTCGGGCGCTGTCCGAGGTCCTGCCCGGCCACCGGGGGACGCTCCGCGCGCTCCCCGCCTGCGCCGCAGCAACGGTGATTGCTCCGCTGGGTGGCGGCTCGGCTGGGCGGGCCAGCCCTCCCGACACGGGCACGGGCGCTTACATTGGCACGTGGGCGAAGGGCTCCTCACAGGCTAATTAACACCCCGCGTAAACACGTCCCTCTCAGACTCTCCGCGGGCAGAGTCCTCCAGGAGAGGTGGCTCCCGCGGCGTCCCCGCGGCCGCAGCACCCCTTCCACAGGGGGCACAGAGAAGATCGCGGCCGCCTGGGGGAGCAGCGGGAAGCGCGGCTGGGAAGGGAAGTGCGCCGAGCGCTGGGCGTCCCTGCCGGCTCCGGGCGGGGCAGACGCGGACCTGTGGCTGCGCGGCCAGGGCGGGGGTGCTGCGGGCCTCCAGCCATTCAGCGCTCTACGCGAGAGGACTGGTCGACCTTGGGCTGTTTGACTTCTCTCCGCGGGCTGGGCAGCGCGAAAAAGGGGGGCGTTTTGAGACGGTTCACCTCCCCTGATGCGGACACCTCCCATCAAACAGCGTCTCCCAGACTCGTCCCCCATGCTGTCTCTCGCTCTGCGTGTCTCAATCTCCCTGGCTGTCTCTGTCTCAAAGTCTTTTCCTTTCTATGGATCTTTCAGCTCTGGCTTCTCTGTCATTTTCGTGGTCCATGTCTCTGTCCCTAGGCAAGTTCCTGCCTTCTCACCTCTCTTTGCGTCCCTTCAGACATCTTCACCTCATCACCTTTTTAACCGGGCCTCACCATTCTCCGTCAAACCCTGCTCTGTTCTTGCCTTCGTCCTCTCCAAGGCCTGGTCATAAGACCAGATTCCCCAAAATTCAGTGAGGTCTGAGATCAGGCCTCTCGCGTGTGAGCTTGGCTGTTTCTCTTCCCCCCGGACCTCTCCATTATTTCTCCAAGACTGCTTTTCTCCAGAGCACTTATCAAAATAAAACCCTGCTTTCCAGTGAGGCCCTGGGTGTCCTTTACCTCGAGTGTGGCTATTGAATACCTCAGGCTCTGCAGACACTGCTCAAATTAATCTGGGTCGGGACACATTGAACACATTAGAGGAAAAGATCCTCCTAGAGTGATCACAGGTCAAAATCCCCTAGGGGATGTAGGTCACCCACCCCCAAACGCAGCAGTGACAATCAGCCACTCTATCCTCTCCCTAAACAGGTGCAAGAGAGGCAACACCGCGAATCACATCTTCAGATCAGATCCCCCTGTAGGACATGCATGCTTGCATGCTGAGACCTTTACTACATCCCTGATACAACAGATATTTCAAGAGAGATTCCTCCTACTCTCAGAAGTAGTAGTCTGCCTGGCATCCCCTGGGATTCACTGGAGAATGTGCAGAGTAAGTCAATGAAGCACAGCTACCTGGAAATTCACTTTAGAAATAATGATCATGTGCATGCAGTATTGTTGCAATGCTGACATACCTATTTTTCACTCACTAGGTTTCTCAGGTTCTTAAAATTTGAAGCAGAAAAATTAAACAGTTAGGACATGCATATCTGAGGTTGAAGTGTCAAAGTAGAGCAAAGGAAGGAAATTTTGTTTGATTCCACCCTAGAGGATGCATGAGGCCGATCTGAGATTAACCACATTTGGACACTAATTCTAGGCTTCCCAGGCTGAAATGTGGAGCTGGGATGAACATTATCTCAGTCTCCAAGAACAATGTTGCCAGGGTTGGGCTTCTTTCTGACCTTTAAGAAACCCAAAAGAAAAAGGCCAGCTTTAGAATATATCAAGTCCCTTTCCAAAACTTATTTTAAAAAATTCTGCCTCTGGAGCCCTTTATTTGTGAGGAAAAAAAAATGGAAAGGAGAGAGAGAGAGAGAGAGAGAGAGAGAGAGAGAGAGAGAGAGAGAGAAATAAGGCACCATAATATCTCTATCTGAATGGGGCTGATTATTTAAGAGAAGCACCACAGGAACCTAGTAATGGAAACTGGTCTGACACTCTGTTCTGTGACACAGGGTGCCCAAGAGCTAGTTATGCATGCTAAGGACCTAAGACCTTATGCCCAGATATTCAGCTCTTATTGGATCCTATAAGATACTTATCCTGGGATATAAAACAGCATTGGATTGTCATCTTTTCTATCCTCACAGGAAAGTTCATTTCCTATGGTACTCAATCAGAAAAGGACATTGTGCCACCAAGCAACAACTAAAGTATCTCCTATTGCTTCTGACAATCCTCTCCAATTTTAATGCTCTCATATTGATAGGGAAAGGGACAAAGTAGACTCATTAACACTCTTTCTTTCATACCATTTACTTTAAAAACAAAAATAATAAAAAATTATTCTCATGCATGCTTCTGTTTAAGTAGTATATTTTTGTAAAATGCACTCAGAATATAATACATAAATAATCATCTTCACTGGGCCACAATGGGAATGTGATAATCTTTCAAGAATATAGTTTTTGTGTCAGTTTTTGCAGATACTGAGAATTCTTTCAGAAATCGCTCTCCAAATTTTGTGTGTAATGCATATTAATACTAGAAGAAATTAAAACTAGAATTCTCTTGAAAAATACTGATAGTCCTGTTGAATATAACTGACTGTTTTTGTTAATTTGGTTTGGTTTATTTGCATGTTTCTCTCTATTGTCAGGGAAAATGAGAAGTCAGGCATTGAAAGTTTGAATGATCTTAGAGTCAGGAAAAAAACAGAAAGAAAAAGATTAACTATGAATTTCACAAAACTGTTATCTGATAATGAGCCTATCATATGACACAGGAATTTCATTGTATTTTACTCAAAATACAAATAAAAACAGAAAACGGTTGTTGTAAAGCACCCTGCTATGGTCTTGCTTGAGCTTTAGGCCATAATACTATACATAATATTGCATTATACCTGTTTTTCCTAACAGCACTAAACATTATAAAGCTGATATTATCTTTCTGCATGACTTCAGTATAAATTGGTATTTTCATATCATTTGACCTTGGGCAAATAACTAAATCTTCCTCAGGCCTCCATATCTTTCTCTGTACAATGAGGAAGCAAAGTTATATGATGAACAACATTCTTTTATTCTATTTTATACAACTAAATGTAAAGCCATTCCTGGCTTAAAACTTAGCTGATCCACCCATACACACACACACACACACACACACACACATTCCAAGACAAAAAATAAAAAAGTGTATACTGCATTATGATCTTCAAAGATATTAGCAATTTCAAAGAAAATATTTTGTTCAATACACTTCACAGAGTTTAAATTGAAAATTGCATTTGTGGGTGTGAAACAAAGTTTTTTGTGCAGTTTTTCCCAGGCCCATTCTTAGAATCTTTATTCTAGGTCAAAGGTTGGTTCTACTGTACTAATCATATCACTGTCTCAAATTAATTGTTTTTTACATGTTTTCAATTTCACTGATTTATGGGAGTCTAGTCACAGTAGCATCTTTATTCTGTTTGTGAAAATTTGTTACAAAGGTTTCCAAGCTATTTAAAATTCTTAAATATCACACAGGACAACTAAAAAATCCCCTGGTCCCTCTACATCTCCAAGCTATTTTGCTAGTGGGAGGCAGTATCATTTGCAAAATGATTTTACCAGCTAGAGTATTTAGTATTTGAATGTATTTGAACTTGATTAATAACTATGAGGCATGTGTGCTAAATTATCATTATAAGAATTCTTTAATAACAAAACCATTGTGTTAAAGAGAGAAAATAGCCATCAAGCTCTGGAGTAAAAAAAGTTAAAGTGAATCAAAAAGGTTTATGTAAAAGGCATTTCATTTTAGAAACAATTTATATGCTCAGTCTTTGTATCCATATATCATTTATTCTGCTAGGTAAAGACAAAGGGCTCTCAAAGGTAAGGTAGTTTTAATTATACTCACAAACTTTAAAGAAAGAATGCACACAACAAAAGAAATTAAAGAAAGCCAGCATTTTAAAAGCCAGTTGAATGTAAAAGATGCAAAGATTGGAATCATAGCTCAAAAATTAAATTTTAAAAAAATATTATGACTAAGTAAACCTTTGCATTATAATCTAATTATAGAAATTTTTCATGGTGGTTCCTCCAGAGATTAATTGACAATTTCCTAAAACAGAATCATTAATGGCAAAGAATTTGATAGCCACTGTTCTGTGAACAAAGCCAAATACAGTATTTGCTTTCAGCCAGAAAAAACATCAGAGCTCTCAGCCATATAGAGATACAAAAAAGCATGAGGACAAAGGGTACCACTTCTATGGTTATCAAAAGCTGACAATGAGTCTGTAAATACGTACTTCATCTAATACACCTGGATATTTTGAAATATATGTTTTTCCAGCTTTGACCTGATTTGGTAATATGAAGAGTCTAAAACAAGATGACTTATAGAGGCATGGAATTCAGAGATACTTCCACCCAAACATTATAGAGATAAGGACGACGTAAGATTAGAAAGCTTTTAAGTAAGGGATTTTATAAGGCTACAACAGTCCTCTCAATTTCCCTTTTTAACATCAAATTAATGAAAACAGTTATCCTGGAATTTTATCACAATTAACTTCAGGGATCATACTGTAAAAACTACAGTTTGCTTCTTCTACTTCCAGAAAATCAACATCTTTGATAAAGTTCAAAACAAAATTATTTAACATAAAATTTTTTATTAAGTGAATATTGATATCTCACAGTTCAATAGGATAACATTTGCCAAGTATCAGACACATACAAAGGACTATGACCTGGATTTTCTTTACATAAATACCCTGTATACCTAATGAATCCCTGAGCTTCAACCAATAGTTTAGTTTTAAAAATATAATAATAGTTTAGTTTTAAAAAGAAGCAATTCAGGTTAGATAAGATATGCACCCTTTTTTGCAGTAAGGAACAAAACTTGAGATTCAATGGACCATTAATGCGCACCCAAGCCCTCTTAGAACGACCTTTTCTGTTCAGTTTTGTTCCAGTGTCTTCAATCCCTCTCCAAGCTTTCCAGTCAACTCTAGGCTCTTCCTTGGGTTAGCTGCACATTCATCTTCATGCATTAACAATCCTCAGGTCTTGCACCAGAACTATTTTCTTCTCT